TAAAGCATTTGTTGAAGCAGATATTCTATTAAAAAAAGTAAACAAGTTACAAAAATTTTTACAAAATTATTGCAATAGAGGTAGATAAATTAAATTAAATTTTTTATTTCAATTTATAAATTAATATTACTTATATTTTAAATTAATCATAAGCAGAATTGTAGATGCAAATTAATTATGTAAATGTTATTTACTACAAGTTTTTTATAATAAAATTAATAAATTAAAAAGAATTATTAAAGATTAATATATTTCAATTACAATTAATAATACTACTAACACATGTAGATATAGCATTGTTAATGTTTTATTTAGTTATCAAAGCTATACAAAATTGGTAAAAACAGATTATTTGGATGCTATCAATCATTTTACAATTTCTTAGTTAATTATATTCATGATAAGTTTTTATAATATTTTATATCAAATATAATTTTTTTTATTAGTAATAATGCTTCATATATAAAAAAAGCATATAAGAATACTTTAGTTCATATCTTTTAAACTGTTTTCTAGACAAATTTGCCTGGAATTTTTAAATTATTTGATAAATAATACTGTAGCACCAAATCATAATAAGTAAAAGCCCCTCTAATATATGATTTTCTAAGACTGGAAGAACCTAGCCAATCATTTGATAATAAAATTTCTAGGCAAATTTGCTTGGAAAACAGTAGATGATTTTTTTTTAAAAAAAGAATATAAATATTTAAGATTGACAATTCCAAATTAATATTATGCTATATAGATCATTAATCTTAAACATTTATATTAATTTTTTTAAAAAAAAATTGTCTACTGTTTTTCAGACAAATTTGCCTGGAATTTTATTTAAAATGATTAGTCAAATTCTTCTGGTTTTAATTATTTGATTGTAAATTAGCATTAACAAACATATGTATATATGCACATATGCACCAGGTGTACATACATATATATATATATATATAATTATTTACATGCTAATGTCTTGCCTTACTGATAAGATAAAATAGATTAGGATGTTGCTCTTTGTCTTTGTCTTAACTAACTACAATTGTTAACATGATAGTTGCTTGTACTGTGCTTAAATATTGTGTTAAAGATGTGAAAATAAAATATCCAGCTTAAAATCATATAAAATAGCTCTGATAAGTACATTGCTAGATTTCTGAATTAGATGTGATCAAATATTACTACTTGTTTATAGGAATGAATATAAAAATCCAAAATTGTTGGAATTAATAAAAATAATGTAACAACTTTGCTTCTGTAATAAATAAATCAAAAGTTTTTGTATTGGTTGCTATATCAGTGGTTGTAAGCAAGCAATATATCTTGCATTTGATTAAGAATTATTTTAAAATTTACAACTATTATCATTATTTTTTTAATTACTACATTCTTTTTTTTTGTTTCTTAATTCTATTAAGTCTCCTATAAAATTTTTTTTTAATAAAATTATATCTTATTCTGTGGCATTAAAAATTTATCTGTTTTGCTGGTTTTATTTTTGAGTAAAAAAAAATTTAAATGTCTCTTAATGAGGATTCTGACTCTTACTATTTGATTACTTTTGAGCATGATTTTCATAACAAATTGATAATCAATTATGAACTTGTAGAAGTCACTAATAATGAAGCATGTGAGTCCAATGAAGAACATGAGTCTAATAAACAAAATTATGTGCATAGAGAGATGAATGTGAGAACTAGCAAAAGAAGAGAAAGAGGTAGAGGTAGAGGTAGAAGAAAGGGTAGAGGAAGAGGTGGATGAAGGGTAAAGGAAAAGATAATAAACAATGCAAAATAACAATATTGATACAGAATTACAAATGTTAAAATGTTTTATCTTTAATTCTATCCAAAATATTCAACTACTTCACAGCAGGTATGCAACATTTCCTCATAAATATCAATTAGAAATTGTTACTCCACTTTCATTTTTTCAGTTATTTTTTACTGATAAATAATTACAATTGATAGTCAAAATACTAATATATATGAACAGGTAAAAGGTAGAAATAGTAGTCATTCATAGAATTTATTAACTTTAAATGAGTTAAAAATTTGGTTTGGTTTTATTATCTACATAGGTATTCATAAAATTAATACTATTGAAGATTTATAGAATAATAATAATAAAAAAATGATATATGAGATTAAGAGATTCATGTCTATGATTAAATTTCAACAAATTAAATATTTTTTTATATTTTGCCTCCTGGTGAACCTTATCTATTTTGGTTTTCTAAAGTGAAACCATTTGCATCACATATACAAGATGCTGTTAAAAAATTTTATATTCCTAGCCCAAATATTTTTGTTGATGAAATGGTTGTGTATTTTTCTAGATGAAGTGCTTATATAGTGAAAATAAAGAATAAACCAACTTCAGAAGGTTACAAAATTATTTTATTGTGTGATAATGTGTACATATAGGCATTTATATTTATATTACATATTAAAAAAGATACATTCATAAAATCAATTCTTAGCCTTAATCATACTGAATGCATAGTTGCACATTTAGTTAGCAAACTTTCTCAGAATAAAATGTACTATGTATATATAGATAATTACTTTTCTAGTATATCTTACTTTAAATTTTTACATGAAAATAGCATTGATGCTTGTGACACTACTTATACTAATTCTGCTGAATTTTTTAAAGAATTAAAGAATAGAGAATCATCATTAGAATGGAATATGCTTTTGGGTAAGGTGGTTAACAATGTTTTGGCTATTCTGTGAATCAATAATGGTCTAGTAACCATGTTGTCTACAATTTATAAAATTTCTGAAGATAATTGTAAAGTTATTCATAACTGATGATGACTATATAAAACTAGTTCTAATTTAAGTGTAGTGTATAATATTTTTGAAGATGTATATCAGAAGGAATTAGCAATTCCATGAATAGTTGATAATTATAATCACTACATGGAAGGTGTTGATATTGCTGACCAATTCTATAGATATTACAATTGTCAACTAACAATTAGATGCACATGCTTTCTTTATTTTTCTGGATCTTGAATACTGTGATTATAAACTGTGTACTTCTTTATCGTAAAGTTATTGATACAAAAATCTCTAGCAAGGAATTTAGAATTAGTTTAGCATGGAATTTAATCATGAGTACTTTAAATAATAATAAAAAAAGCGAATTACCACCTGATCAAGCACTATCAAAAAGAAAACAAGTTGTTTATGTCACAAAAAATTTTGAATTGCCATTAACTTGTTATTGTTTATTAGATAGTGATCATTTAGTCAAATAAAGAGAAAAAAGAGAAGCTTATATATATTGCTGTTATTTATCACAACATGATAAAAGAACAATTAATTCTAACAATCTCTTTCAAAGTAATTTGTGGTGCACTAAATGTAAAGTGCTGCTATATGCTTCTAAGCCCAGACTATATTGGTTTTGAAGCTTTCATTTTAAAAAATCATAACTTTTACATTAATCACCTAATCTCTGAATTAATAGTTCAATTTTTTTTCAGACTTCAATATAAATACGATATGATTCTAAATTCATGGATTTACTTTAATGTTAAAAAAGAAAAAAATTTACAAAATAAATTAAGACAAAAAAAAATAAAATGTAGGCAAAATAAGTGTAAAGCAAAAAAAAAAAATAAGGCAAAATAAATAAAAAACAAATTAATCTAAATTTTGATACTTTGAATTGTATTGCAAATAAATAAAGTAAATTTAGAATATAGTACTAGTGAGTTTAAATATGTTAAGCTTTGAGTAAGTATACATATGCATGTATTGTAACTAATAATTCAAAAAAATTCATAAGATGCACTGATTTAATCTGCACAGTAAGAGCACTAAGATGCACTAAGATGCACTAAGATGAGTAAGTAGATAATTCTCGATATAAAACAACTGTATCAAAGGGTCATAAAAACATTTGGATTGTTTTGATAAAAGAAGATTTAAAAGAAGGATCATATAGGAACTAAAATGAAGAAAAAGACTTTTTTTTGAATGACAAAGTGTCACATGAGCAAGGTGGTAATAATTAGTATTAAGGTTCTAAAAGTGCCAGATATAGTGTTAATAAAACATAATATTCATATGCTAGGCACTATATTTTATTGGCACTATGCCTAGTATTTGCAAAACCTTAGTAATAATAAAAAAGTTTGATATCAAGGATTTTAAAAAATTTACAATTTTTAATAAAGTTTACCTTAGCACTACAATATATATGTTACTAGACAAAAACTATTACTATTATAACTAAGTTGCAAGTACTAAGCAAAATAAAATATCTGTTACTTGCTTAGAACTTAGTTACAATATAAATAACAATTTTTTTAAAAGATTAAGACAATTTAGTATAATAATATTGTAATAGAATTTATTTTTTTCCTATATTAGTATATATTTATTTTTAGTTCTATATTATATTTTATAATTTTC